AAATAAGAGAGAGAGAAGAGAGAGAGAGAGAGAGAGAGAGAGAGGAGTTATATACCAGTTTGACCTCAGAGAGAGAGAGAGAGAGACTCATACATATGTCACGAACGTAATACATCGAGGCGGTTCGATCACAGTAAGAACTTCCTCCATTGAAACCTCTTTATATACAATGGTTACATGGCGACGAGTGGAAAAAATAAAAAAAAAAGAAAAGAAGAAAAAAAAAGGCATAAAACGATAAAACCGACGGGAGCAGCAGAGAGAACGAACCGAACCAGGAGAAAACGATTCAGGTGGATCGTTTCCGATGTACTAAGGGGCTAAGAATAGAGAGAGGGCGATACGTCTCCCGATCGGTGTGTTCGTCGTAACGATCGGCACACCGGTTCGGCACGGTGCGTCATAAATGACCGATGACAGATTCCTCGAAGCCATTTCGTTGCGCATACGAAATCGCCTCGGTCGGCGGTACATCAATAAAAAGTGATCGGCCACGAATAAATGCGCGCGACTTCGTCGATCGCCCGTTCGCCCCCGCGCCGCCTTCGGAAATACGTGATCGGCGAGTTTCGACTTTCCATCGAACACATCGGCCTCCCCTCCATCGGCCGAACAACCGTCGCGACCCATTACGGACCTGTACGAAACAATTAGGCGGTTGCGTTTCTCGACCTCTTGGAGAGGAGAAATTTCCAATTTGCTTTGGATATTATTGTTTTAATTTGGATATGATAGAACTTGCAGTGTGGTAGTAAGATTTGTTTTATTAATTAGTAGTTTTGTATTGGTAGTATTGTTTTATGTAAGAAATCAGGAGAATATTGAATATTTTTACATCTAACTCGAACGTAGAGGAACGAATCTAATTGTAATGCGTAGTATTTTTGAAGAAGAAAGAAAAATTGTTCAGGGAAGAGGGAAGATATTTGCGTAGGCGCAAAATTTGCATAAGCGTCCACAATCCAATTATAATTGGAATATCATATCATGGAGGTCATTCTAATTAACAAGTTAATCGAGGGTTAAATTAATTTGCGTTGGTGGTTCTTCGATCATTCCATGCAGCGTATTTCAGAGAAGGAAAGGGATAATAAATTGGACGAAATGGGAACGAAAAGTGATTAGTAAGCAAGCAACGTATTACGTGACTTCGTTGATTCGTGATCAGAGTTCATTAACTCGAATAATACTCTTTGGAGCAATTATAATCTTCAATTTAGTCAACAGATACCTGAAAAGGTACTTATCCTTTCATAAATTATTTTTACAAATTTTAAATAATAATCTTTCTCTCTAAAATTAAAAAAAAAAAGAAGAAGAAGAAATAAAATGACAAGTGACAAATGAAGTTCAAAAATTTCCATCGTCTTTTCCTTCCCAACGAAGGGCAAGGAAAAGGAAAGCGTCAGCTGTGTCACAGCGAGAAACGCGAATCGAAAAAAATCGCGATGAATCGCGTTTAAGGATTCCAGGAGCGTATCCTCGACTACGATCGCAGTCGCCACGATCGAAGCCGGCAAAGGGCCCGAGATCCACAGTAGCGTGCATAAATTATAGCGTCCCAAAGTCAAATCTCATACAGCTCGCACACATCTGTAAAATTCCGTACGCACACGCGCTTAAGTACGTGATACGGTACTCGGTGAATCCTGGCCGAATTTCAAACGGCGGGCGAACATTCGACGAAGAACCCCTGTTCCTCGAACAGAAGGGCGATGTTCGGAAATTTCTTCGATCCGATCGATAATTTGTCGTATATATTTTTCCGTGAAATCGATGAAAAAATCGTCTACGTACGAGAAAAATTCGTAGGAATTTTTTTAAACGAATAAAGCCGTTCTATGATGATCGATCTCTTGCAATTTTATAAGCGTGGGTAAAGAGATATCTATTGAACGTGCTAATGAATATCTGATGATTTTCCAAACTTATTACATTGAAGAGAATCGAGGATACACTCTTGATAAACGGATTTATCATCGTTCTAATAATAAGATAAGATTCTCGATCGATCGTTCAATTGCTAATTGCTGCCGTGTTTCGTCAGTCCTAGAAATAATTGAAACGATCACTCCCGCATCCTGTTAACACTAACAACCGTCAGACATCGAGCTATGGTATAGAGCTCGCCCGTGCCTCGAATATAGAATTACCTATGGCTGTAAGTTAATAGCAGAATATAAATAAATAGGTATTTCACGATCCCGTTTGCACGTCGGTGCAGTGGTTAATAAACCATCGAAGAATCGAAGATGTTCAATCTCGTAGTACGTGTAACGTGACATTACATCATCGATAATATTTATCTAATTCGAAAATCATAAATGAATCGAAAACAACGAATGAATAACAGTGAAAATTGATAAAATTAAATTCATAAAAATCTAATGTCCACTTATTAAAAATCGTTCGAAAAGTAAAAATTGCTTATTCTGAAAAAAAAAAAGAAATTCAGAAAAATACATACTGCGAATTCTATTTTATTTAATCATATATAACCTGAACTTACCGTGTCTCGATTTAGAAAGATCGTGAGCAGGTGATGCCGGTGAATCGATACTACCATCGTCCTCGCTGTCTGTGAAACTGGTCGAGCCACGATGATTTGAACCACGGTGACAAGAGGTCGGATAAGCCGCGCCTTGAAGGTGATTCGTCCCTGGACCGAGATGTTGCGACAACCGATTCTGATAAAGATCCTGATGAGACGGATAACTGGCGGAGGTATGCGCTGGTAACATTGGGACACCGGAAGTCCCGCCGCTGCCGTACATCCGCATCGGTAGCCATGCACCGTACAAACCGAGCGGCACTCCGAAACCTGGAACCACGAAAAATTAATCAATTTGTTCTGAAGAAATTTATAAGTCGAATAAGTAGTTCAATTTATAAATTAGTTTAATATTAATTTTATTAATTTTTTCTATAATTGTTTTTTAATAAATAATGTACATGATTACATAATTTATAGTATCGCCCTATTTTGACACGCATATCAACGAATAATGCAGATAATAGTTTCTATGAATAACGCTCGAATATCGTACGAAATCAAATGTCACGATGAAGTATTATTTTGATTTTTATCCGCGACGATTTATTTTTAAAAAACGATCTACGAGAATTGCAATGTCGTATAAATCTGAATCTTATTACATTCTTAAGATGACGTTCAGAGGAATTTATTTTAAGTAAACTTCATTCCCCGGAAAAAGTAGGGCGTTCACGGATTAAATTATGCATGCTACATCCGGTAATTACAAGATTCAGAATGAAAACGAGGTTGTATATGTAACGGATAATTAATTGATGAAATTTGTATTTTATTTCGTATTCTATAAATTTATATATAAATAATAAATATTTAATAATAAATATTTTCCTATTTCTTGAGGAATTAAATTATCAATACGGACAATAATATAATGAATATCAAATAAGTAATTTTATTCTAATAATTTGATTTTAAAATGCAGCTATATTGAATAAAATATACATCTCGTGTGTAAATACGAAAATGAATAAAATTTTATAAATTTTTCATTATATGATATAATAAGAATAATTGAGAAATATTACAAATATAATTAATATATTTGAATGTTTAACAGAGAATGAATGAATAGAAAAATCAGAATAATTGACCCCACCACGCGATATAATTATGCAAGATAAGGAAGTAATCTATTATACATTACAATAATCGATTATACACGTTGCTATACCATGATATGTCCCGATAGTTGATTGTGCATTCATAATCTAATTTGCACAGCTACATCTATTACATCATAACAGCTATCACGACTAAGATAAATAATATAACACTATATATATAAAACTATCTAAAAAAATTCTAACAATTTTATAAGAATATCATATAAAACAATATATGTTAACATTTTTCCTCCAATTTTCTATAAATTTTACAAGAATTCTTCAATATTCTACAAGGAGAAGAAGAAGAAGAAGAAGAAATAATTTGAGCATGCGAGTTTGAAACACAAACCAACCAGGAGGAAGTGCACTGGCAGCCGCGGTCGCCAAATAGTGTCTCTGATAAAGATATTCCCTATCTCGATCAGAATCTTCTTCGTTTTCGTTTATTCTCTCTCCTTGATTCCCTGAATCGCAGCTTCCCTTCTGTGTGCCGCAATTACCGATCAAACTCTCGATCGTGAAAGGTTTCGGCGTTGGTCGCCGTTGCAATTTCGATTCTCCGATCGAAGATTCGAGTTCGTCGGTCGCTGATCCGACATCCAATTCCGTTTCCTCTACGTTGGAATCCATCTCTCTCTCTCTCTCTCTCTCTCTCTCTTTCTCTCTCTTTTTCGAAATTTCGCGACAATAAACGATCTATCGTTTCATGATTCGACGATTGTTACAATTCCTTCCTCCGATATGTTCTGAATCTTCTGAATTACGTAATATCAGATGATAGCAAGTAATATTTTTTTCAGATTTGTTCGATATTCTATACAATTGTTTCTTAATAGTTAATATCCAATTATATTTTAATAATGATATAGAATCGGTTTGAAGTGGTTTTATGATTATAAAATTCGATATGAATATTTATTGCTCCATTAAAAGTGAATTAATGAATTCTAACGAGGCTTCTCGGTGCAAAAATTTCATTAAAATTGAATTATTTAAATAACACAGTGTACCGTTATTTTGTAACAGCCAGTTCTATAATCATGCGTACATTAAAAGCTTTTTATACGTGCATCAATAAGTCCATCGTGAAAATATTTTCATTACTGTGAAATTACTTATTCCTAACAAATATATCTTCTCGTTTGCACTATAATATATGTATTATTTTAATTTTCTTACCAGATATCGATTTTAAAATTCATGTAAATGTATATTTTTTGATACACTGAACTTACTGGTTACGAATACCATGACATTCAAGTTCATAGAATATTTTAAATTGATCATCATATATATTTAACTTTTCTTGATTACTTAGTTTAAAAATCTTCAAATAGCACAGAAATTTAACAATTCTATATATCAATTCAGACTAAATTCTCGTATTCTTCCTTTCAAAGACAGCAGTTATATAATTGATTCCAGTTCCTCGAACACGAAGTCCCAATTTCATCACTTTGTAAAATTTCAATTTCACCTTTTAGTATCTCAAAGAAAACTTTCCGTTAAATCACAAAATCCAAGTTCTCCAATCTTACTCCTCTCCTCCTCCACAAACGTTCACCTTCCCTCCAAAAGATCTTCCTCTCCAAAAACCTCCACTTCCTCACTCCGAATCACAGTTTCGTTCCAACCAAGATCTTCCATTCGCCCTAAAACCCAATATACTCCAAAAGTTTCCAGAATCACGAAAACGGAACAGAAACGGCACTCGAACCACAAGTATTTAAAACGCGGATTCGACCCCTTCCCCCGTTCACCTTTTCGTCGCCGTGACGAGGGAACGCGTGTGTACGCGTTTCCAAACACGAGCAAAGGAATCGGAGGGGGTGAGAAGAGGTAGAGAGAGAGAGAAAAAAAAAGCACGTGGAGAAGACCGCACGGGGCACAAGTCGACGGGCAACTGGCGGCCGGCGGCGAGCCGCATTTCAATTGCTGGGCCACGTCCGTGACGCGCCGACTCGCGGCGGCGTGGCAGCTGGCGTGGCCGCGTAACCGCACGGACGCGGTTCAGCCGCGTCCCTGATTGGTCGCTGAGCGAGCCAACTGCATTCGCGGACGCGCCTACCGATCCGTGGGCCGCCATCTTGCTACCGTAGCCGCTTTTGTCCTTACGCGCTCGCGATCCGCCGGCGTGATCGAGCTTGGACCAAGGATGAATTTCACCCGCACCGTGGCCCTGGATAGTCTGGCATCGATTCAACGTTAATTGCCGCCTGTGACGGACAAAATCGTTCCTGTGTAGAGTTATATAGGGACAGCTTGGTTCTCGTCCTTCTCGAGGAATTTCTGATATTTCCTCGTTTAACGAGAACAGCGGTCTGGAAAATTCTCGCTTACTTTTATCGTTATCTATTCCGTAATAAAATCAAAAAATTACAATGAAGAACATTGAAAAAAGAATATCGATATCTATTGTGATCTAGAGAAACACATATCGAAATATCATTTATTGAGAAATTGTGAATGACAGAAGACGAATCATGCATTAAGATATTTTCGATGACGAGTATTAGATTGTTTGATAAGTATTGAAGCATTTTTTTTTCGAAAAAAATATGATAAATATTGGAATATAGAGGCGAATGAATGCAAAGCTTTCGACGATTATTTCCTCTTCGATTATCGTTTCTAAATCCTCTTCATCTCGGATCTTAAATAGAATTCTGAAGGATGAAAGTCGAAGCCGAGGAAAGTTTTAGACAAGATTGATTCTTGTGTTGAGCAAACACGATCCCGATGACGCCGAGCGGATTGACACCGAGAAGGGTACATCATTATCCTTCTAGTGGATTGGCTCGCGTCAAGATCGGCACGGATAGCCGTGCTCGTTAAGGAAACGTGGTGCGGGGGTGGCGTGGTGAGCAACCTAATGGAAGACACGTTCATCGGCGGCTCTCGCGGTCGAACGATAAAAATACGAGAGGGACGCGGTTGGTGGGCTTATGGTAAACGTGCACCGTGCTGAAAGCTGAGCTGCCTCGTTAACGCTGATCACTCATACTGCATACTCGTTATGACGTAAATACACCCACGTGACCGGTCTAATAACGCGTCGATTATGCACGCGAGTCGGCCCACCCGAAATAGCTCGGACCCATTGCAACGGATTTTGATGAATGTTAATTCGATGAGTAAGAACGGTGGCCAATAATTGTTAAGGAATCGTATTATCGATAAATTTTTTTTTTTTTGAAATGTGAATAAAACTTTTCTTGTTATTGTTGATCTTTAAACTAAAGTGATATTGTAAAGAAGATACACACAGCTCGGTGACAAATAAAATTTCTATTAGCTTGATATCCTATGAATAAAGTAATGAACGATTATCATTGATCAAGATTTCCGAAATTCGACAATCATCTTTCTTAATATGCAGTTGGAACATGTTAGAACATGTTTTTAAATTATTGTTATGATATATTGTATTTTTTAAGAAAAAAATCATAATATCCGTGTTGTTTTCCAAGGATTAAGATAAGGAAAAAGGAAAAGATGAACAAAGGATGCAATTACTTACCGGCGCATAATTTCTCGTTCGTCACAGAAGAACCTCGTGGCAGGTTACACCCATTCATCGTTTCTTCTGTTTGTAGGCGTTTCCAAGCTGGCTAATCGGTACATCACGCTAATAGTGACGCTATTTTGGCACTCGTTAACATGACACCAGTCTAATTGAGCTTCTAACAGAATCTAAAGTTAAATGGCTGGTCGTTATACAAGGCCCATGTATCTTCCAGCTTGTTGCGACAACGATCTTTTAAAGAGATAAAAAATTATTTTCTATCCTCAATTCATTTACGTTTAAGAGATATAATATAATATTTCTGGAATTTTCATTCCTTCATTTTATACGGAAATAGTTTCATTCGATGATAATTGAATTAAGTGAATATTACGAGTCTTTATTCTTAGAGATTTCAATGGTCTTTAAATACGGTGAATATGGTTGGTCTATGAGATGCTGTCAGAAGAAGTTTATCGTGCGAGGAAAACCATTTGGACGAAAGTTGTTCGTGTGACAACGAAGCGGAAATGAGTATCGACCGGATCTGCAGAGGAATACGGGGCTGACAAAATAGCGCTTAACGGGTTGTAAAACAAGATGAAAGTGTTGTAAATAAAATCCACGAAACTGTCGAAACGTAATTAAAAGACGAATTTCTCTGAAATTTGAGCGTGGAAAAGTTCTAAATATAAATTTACATTCTCCAATTATACTCTGATTCTTCAATCAAATTACAATATATACAATACATCTATCTATTTTTCTATTTTATTTTTATAAATATTTCAAACCACTATCTATATATATTTCAATATTAATAATCCATGTTTAAAAATATTCTAATTAAATCCAACCAATAATTTCCATTCGTATCTCTATTTAGAAAATGATAGATAAAATATTGGATAAGTTACTTACTATTCAAATCAACAAACAAAAACATATTGCCAATATAGTACTAACATCTATTAACATCTACTAACATAGTAGATAATTTTAAATACAAATATCTCCATCGGGACATCCGCACTCGAAAAAAATTGTAAAACTAGAATTCTCGGTTGAAATTTACACAACATTCATTTCTGTCAACGTTTCTCGCCGTTTCACGCGTGTTGACATCACGAGGCACGGATTTTCCCCAGCGCTAGCGTAAGACGCGCGCAAGGAGATTCAGACACGAATACTCAGACGGCCCTAAATCTTGTCTCGGTGGTCTCCCCTTTATTTTACTTCGCGGAGGCGTCGTTCTTGCAGATCTTTCGTTACGCACGTGTGAACGGAAGCGTCGACTCTTAAACGCCTCGGTTCTTAAGCACGCCGCGGTAAAAGTATGGCTTTTAATTGCCTGATGTTTCGTCGGCCATATGGAAGGACACAATATACAATATTGTTGGGATATAAGAATGATTTAATTGGAAAAGAGTTAATGGAATGTTGTGTAAATCGCATTTTCTAAAAATGATTTACGCGATTGAAAAATCTGTTTGAATTTTTAAGCAATAAATTAATTAACTCGAGAAAACTATCTACAAGTAGTTTCTTGATTTATCAAAATTTGAACAATAAAGAGATTTAAATATATATAACGACGAATTATTATTATATAAGGAGAAGAGAGAAATAATAGAAAGGATTATGACTAAGATTTTTATAAAACTTCTATCAAATCCTTATCATTTTTAAAATGAAATAAAAAGTAAGAAGAAATAATATATTTTAATAAGATTGGAATAGATTCTCGGGAATAAATTAGGTAGAAGAATTTAAATCTTACACGAATAGAAGGATACCGTATACATTTGACGGTTCATTTTCCTTCCACCACTCTCTTCCTTTTATCTTTCTCGCGCAATTTCTCCTTCTTCCCCATCCCCCTTCTTTCTCGCTCTCCATTTCTCCATTTTCCTCTATTTACGAGGAATATCACTCTCCAATTTCTTCTTTTAATTTACAACTTAATGGCTCGTTTATAGCTCACCACGACTTACAACGAGACATTGTACCAAACCTTAACCAAAATCCTTGACCTTCCTTTCCAAACGATCCTTTACACAGACAATTAAATTTGAATTCACCACACAACAACCGTTTAAACCACCAAAATTTAAGATTACTCAACATCTTCCAATACAATCTTTAATTAATCATCTCTACTGTTAAAACCTACTGTCAAATTATTTTCAAAACTCTGAATCCGCTATTCCATAATTCAATTCCTATTCCACGAAGGGACAGGTTGCTCTCACAACCAGGCACAACGAGGCACGCGAATCCATGAAACAGAAAAAAAAGGAACGCGAGGGAAAGATTTCCCTTCTCAAAAGAAGAGCGTCGCGCCTGCGTTTCCAAAGATAGCGGCCAGCAAAGAGGGGAAAAACGCGGATGGAAAGGGTGTAGAATCCGCGATTGGCGGCTCGACATTAAATCCGCCGCGAGGAAAACAGCTACGAACGCAGAGGGTGCAGAAATCGATGGTTAGCAAATTGGTGGGCGTCGTGAAAACCGAGAAACCGCGCACATAGTAATGGATCGAGCAGGGTTTCTCGATGGTAGTGGCGGCAAATTGTACACGATGGAGGATAGGTATCGCGAAACCTAATCCAACTTCGTGTCGTAACGAGAACATCTGATGAGTTAGGGAACCATTATGGAGCCGAAATCGTTGGTGGTCTCGTAATCGTTGGGGTTTCCATGGCATGCATCACGGACATGCTACATTGCCGGGAACGTTGGACGGTTTTATAGCGCTCGAATGATGCATTTCAATGGTGCAGGTGCATCATTTGAAAATAATCTGTAATTTGTGAAAGATAAATTCTCTAATAATTTCTAACAATAATGAAATATATAGCGTGTAAAAAGGAAAAGAAGAAGAAGATGAGTGTGGTTTGTACTTGTAACAAATTCAGATAGATACCTCAAAAGAGGGGGAAGCTTTTTGTTACGAAACATGCGAGCAAATATGGGCGTACTGTATATATGTAATACTACATATTAATGACATATCGCTGACATCGATAAGGCTTGTTAAAAATTTTTAAAAATGTACATGGAAAATTTTTTCACTGTTCAAATTTCCACTTTTCAAAACCAATTATTAAATTATTAAAGCTATTACTCAACTGATCCGTCAATTAAAAATATATACAATAATTTTTAACTGTGCAAGTTATTTTCAAAAAATGTGTAATCTCTTTATTCGTTCGATAAAAGCAAATTTTGAAATTCTTCAAGTTGTGTCCCACTCGATCATTAAATATTCGCGCACGAAAGCTTGCCCTCGCGAGAATACAACAAAAGATTTCTCTGATTCACGCGAGAATGCGGTGAAAAAAAGATACCCGCTTAAACTAATAGCGAGCGTTTTCGTTGAGACGTTAAACGGGTGCCCGATGCCTAAATCACGTTAACCGTACGGGACATGACTAAACGGGTGCTATCTTGAGAGGAAGACCGAGAGAAGTGGCGAACGTCCTCGGCACTAAACGGGACGTGGTTTCAATTATGCGTGAAATGAAGGCGGCGATGCGTGCGTATGCTTGCCGACAGGCGGCACGGACGCGCGTATGCCACGTCGCGGGTGTAGTTGCGCTCGTAGAAAGAGCTTAAAACGTCCACGCGGTTCTGAATAATCGCCAAAGTGTATGTAATCGGCTTC